ATGAATGAATGAATGAATAAATAAATAAATAAATAAATAATGAACATGGTGTGATATTGAATGCTAAAAAACCCCAATAAGCTCATGACAATAAGTGAGAAGTAAGCGGCTTCAGAATGTAGCTAAAGATCTAAAATGAAAGTGTGAAATATACTGGCAAATATATGTACCTTGGAATTTGTTTAGATTAACAGTGGGATATCAGCTGTGCAATAAAAGTCAGAATAGATACAACTTGGAACAACTTCCTTAAGATGAAGTAGATAAGGTATCATTGATTTAATCAGCAGTGGTATAAACAGCCTTTACACGTGAATAGCCAGTGCAGTGGGTCTGAACTGAATTAGGAACCTGACATACGGGGTATGAGGGGTTGAAACCTTTGCCTGTCACAGTGGTCTTGATCTAGATCAAGCTGTCTGCATGTATTATTTCCACAGGAAGCAAAGCCATTGTTGGCCTCAATTGAAGCTTTTCTTCTAATACAAATAGGTGGTGAGGCACCCTGATCTGGATTGGGAACATCTACGTGGAACAAAGAATAAACCTCCCTGGCTAGTGTCCTGATCAGGATTGTACCAGGAGTAGCCATGTTAGTCTGTGCAAGCATTAGGGTAAAAGCAAAATAGAAATTAAAGGTAAAAGGTGTAAAAGCAAAATAGAAATTAAAAGTAAAAGATGACAAAAACATGGTGGCATCTTAAAGACTAACTTTTATGTATTCTCAAAGGCTTTCATGGCCGGAATCTGATGATTGTTGTGGGTTTTTCGGGCTCTTTGGCCATGTTCTGAAGGTTGTTCTTCGTGACGTTTCACCAGTCTCTGTGGCCGGCATCTTCAGAGGACTGGAGGAGGAACTCTGTCGATGCTCTGTTGCTGTTTGTTGGATAGTTGAGGATTTATAGCTGTGGGACCAGCTTTTGTCCTTTTCAGGAGATAGGGCGATGGAGGTGATTAGCATGTTTCTGTTGTGGATGTATTGTTGTGATAAGGGGGAGAGATTATCTGTCACTGTGATTGCTGGGTGTTTTTAGCTGGTCCTTTTTGTGCAATGATCCCTGGTCCTTGTGCCTGGGTAGAGTTCGTTGCCCTTTTGCAGGGTGTATATTTCAGTGCTGGGAGCCAGGCCTTGTTACGTTTTAGACCTTCCTCTTTTTTGTTGAAGATCTACTGGTGTTTATGGATTTCAGTGACTCCCCTGTGCAGTCTAACATAATGATTGCTGGTGTTGTCCAGTACTTCAGTATTTTGAAATAGAATTTCATGTCCAGCTTTTTAAGGGCATGTTCAGCTACTGCTGATTTTTCTGGTTGTTTTAGTGTGCAATGTCTCTCATGTTCTTTGATTCTGGTGTGAATGCTGCGTTTTGTGGTTCCAATATATACCGTATTTTTGCTCCATAAGACGCACTTGACTATAAGACGCACCTTGCATTTGAGGCACCATTGGGGGTGATAAATAAATAAAATAAGTCATGTCTGAGCTCAGCAACTATCTTCCTTATTTTCTTTTAGTGCAACAGTTCCCAACCCGTTGTAACCCATGTGTTCTTGGATAGCAATTCCCGGAAGTCTTCACCACCAGCTGAGCTGACTGGAGTTTCTGGGACTTACATTCCAAGAACACTTAGGTTACCTAGGCTTGGAAACCACTGTTATATCCATTTCTCTTAATATTCATCTGCACACCCACACATACCACTCCTTAAGACTCGTCCTGTGTGTGTTCTGTGCTGTCAAGTCAGAACCAACTTATAGTGACCCTACTTTTAAGGTAAGTGAGATATTAAGGAATAGTTTGACCAGTTCTACTCCCCCTGTCAGTTTTTTTATGGCTGAGTGGAGATTCAAACACTATACGTTACTTGAATTTAAATCAGGCTTATTTTCTGAATAGCAAAATGGTGATGGACAGGGGAAGGGTGGAAAGAGAAGCAGGAATGTTTAACCCCCTCCCTCCCCCTTTCTGACTGGTTTTCATCCAGTGTGCCTGATTTTCTTTTTAAAGAAAAGCTACCACATAAGGAGAGAGCGAGAGACTCTGCCTCTCAAAGGACCAACATATGCAATCACACAACACCAAAAAGGAGGCACACTTGGAAATATTGCCAGAAAAGAAAAGAAAAGACCGCTTGAGCAAAATGTACCATAGACAGAAAGAGAATGATCGGATTTACTTGTGATTGGCTGTTAAATCATTTAGATGGCAGAAAATACAATTGTCCTGTAAACAACAGGATGATCTCCAGTGCGGTCGTGCTGTAAGTTGTTGATGAATGTTAAAAGAATCTATTTCCAGATTGTGTAGGTGTGTGAATCTGTTGTAGCAAAACCAACAGAGAAACTTGTATTTTATTTGGCAAACAAGTTATATTTAGCATTAGCTTTCACGAACCATAGCTTACTTGCATCTGAAGAAGTGGACAGTAGTCCATGAAAGGCAGATACCAAATACAGTGGTGCCTCGCATAGCAAGCGCCCCATTTAACGATGAATCCGCATAGCAATGTGGATTTAGCGATCGCAAAAGCGATCGCATTGCGACGTTTCGCTTACCGATCTTCGCATTGCAATGTTTCCCCAACAGCTGATTGGCAGTTCCAAAATGGCTGCCGGCTGAAGAAAATGGCCACCTGCAGCGTTTTCGCGCCCTGCCCTTGCTTACCGAGGCGGCGAAAATGGCGGCCGCATGGGGAATCTTCGCATAGCGGGGAGTTCCCCCCCCATAGGAACGCATTAAGCAGGGTTTAATGCGTTCCTATGGGGTTCCCCACCCCCTGCATAGTGACGTTTCCGGATAGTGACGATTTATCCGGAATGGATTATCGTCGCTATGCGGGGCACCACTGTACGTACAGTTTGCTAGTCCTTAATGCGGTTCAAACTCCTTGTGTTGGTAGTAGATGACATTGAACACTTTTTAAAGCAGTAGCTGTCATAGATTATTTCGGAAATAGTAGAAACAAAAGAAATGCAAAAATACTGCAGTATGGTGTCTTTAAGAGTAACAAATTTATATCAAGGAGACCGACCATTCATGAATGCAGTCATAAACCCGAGCAGTAAGTTGTGTCCATGAAAGTTCACATTTATATTTCTTAGTCTTAAAGATTCCATAATGCTTCAGTTTTTGTTTTGTTGTTGTTTGCATGTTGTTCCTTCCCTTTGGGTGAGACAGAATCACCAGCCAGCAGTATCTATGAAAGAGATGTTCACTGGGTAGAAGGTATTACTTAAAACTGTGCCTGGGAAGGTGGTGTGCGGTGGCTTATATCTGCATAGACAGATACTGAACTGAGCGGTGCTTTTATATGCTTGGTGAGAAGTTGTCCAAATGGTTAAGATTTACATGTGTCCCCCTCTCCTTATGCCCTAGCCCCCGCTTTGTTGCTGGCATACTGCCCCACAACCATTCCGAGAGGCCAACATAGAGTCCCCCACCGTGCAGCAGAGTTGTGCTTCCCCCCCTCCCCTATTCTGGCTGATGGCAACGTAGGCAGAATATTTGCCACTAACTGTCAGCAGAAAGCCATTTGGAAAGCTTGTGTTTTAGGAGATAATATGGGGCTTTTGTGCCCCACCACTGTCTCTTTTAGTCCCTTGCTTCGGTCTCACACTCCTACACACATCTTTAAGAAAGCCAAAGTGTGTGTGCGTTCACTTATGCATAAGTGCTCCCAATAGCCCCGAGTACAGCCCCAGTAGTTCATGGATAGTCTGTGTACTAATGAAAAATATGTTTGACTTTCCCAGCTTGAGAACATTAAGAATGCTAAGAATCAGGGTTAAGTGGCCCTTTCTCTCTCTCAAGTGCACCAGTCTGTCCTTCCTTTCTCCTGGCATACAGGTTAATTTTCGAGAGCTATAGATAGACCACCTCCTAGCTTGCTTTTGCTAGCCTCCGATCACCACCCCCCGCCTTTCTCCTCTGCTGGAGACAGTGTCGAGGACAATTATCTGGGCTGCATAAAAGCTGTTTCCCTGTAATGGGCTGAACTCCCTGTACTGTGACAAACTGCCCAGCTGCTCTGGCTCTAACTATCCCTCATCTCATCCCCGTCTGCACCCTTTCTTTTCCAGTCTCGCTGGTTTTTCTCTTCCCTCTCGATATCCCAGCCACTCAAAAGGGAAGAAGCAGAGAGCAGACAGCCAGGTCAAGGAGTTGTGTAAAACTGCCACACAACTCATGCTTGCGGTCAAATTGCTTCATGGTGATTGTGAGAATGTTATTTATAGAAGGTGAAAGCTGCCATTTTGCACACCACTGCCTGACCCAGATCAGGAACTCTGCAAAGACATACAAAATGGCTGCTCCCTGTTAATACCATGAGTAGATCCACTGTGAGTACCAAGCTTTCTAAAAGGATTGAGGCTGATATTTTTGTGTTCATCAACTTCTCTGCTGCTTCTGTGTGCATCCTGTTCTGTTTGTTGAGAAGGAGGAAAAGCGATTATACAGTATAGTCTAACCAGAGCCAGCTCCATCATTAGACAGAGCGAGCAGTTCACCTCTGGCTGGGTGATGTGGAGAAGGCAGCGGCGGCCTTCTGTGTGTTCTCCTCTGTTGAATGACAAAGAAGTGTGTTCTGTACCACCTATCCTGCGTACTCTAAGCTAGCTTGGTGCCCTCAGAGTAGGTGGAGGATGAACCATTGCCAGTCTTGAAGTAAGATTCACCTGCCTGTCTAGTTGACTTTTGCAGGTGGAAAGGAAGGAATGTGCCAGTTTGTCTTTTGCCTCAGGCAGCAAAAGGTCTTGGTTGCCTCTGCTTCTAATGCCTGAACCCTGGCACAGATCAGCCCCTGCTGCAACTATAGGACTTGATGGAATCCACTACAGGAGTAACGCAGGCATTGCGAACTATGTATAGGCATCAACGCAAGTGCCTTGGTGGAGAAGAATGAAAATAGAAATATATAGCTCGTGATGTGAACAAAGGATCATCAGAATTTTAGAGCACTCTAAGTCTACCTCTGTCTCTCTCTCCCCCCCTCTCTCTAGGTCCATCTGCGTTCTGCAGAACGTCTCCGAGACCTGTGCTGTACCAACCGGGGCACGTTTATCAAAGTGGGACAACACTTGGGAGCACTCGACTATCTGTTGCCAGAGGAATATACGAGCACGCTCAAGGTGCTCCACAGCCAAGCCCCTCAGAGCAGCATGCAGGAGATAGAACAAGTTATCCAAGAAGACCTGGGCAAAGGGGTATGTGAGAAAACAGCGACTTCTTGACTTCCTGCTGTAGAGAGAAGTAGCATACTTGCGAGAACACTATAGGTGTTTGGGCAGTAGAACAGTGTTTTAAATAGACTAGAACTTGGAAAAGTTACTTTTGGGGGCTAAACCTCTTAAACATCCAGACCCAGCACCAACCAGTGCTCATGCTGGCTGGGGGAGTCTGCCAGCACTAATCTAAAACAACATTTCCGAGCTCTAGAACAGATTCAAGGCAGCGTTTCTCAGCCTTTTACTGAATCTATGCCCCTTTTTGATAAACAGGAAAATATTATCTTCAAATCTGACTTTCCCAGTAATTTTAAATCTGAAATATCATGGCTAGAAACAATTTAAACATTTGTAAATTTATCAAAAATATTTATTTTCATGTACAGCTTTACATTTATTAACGTTATAAAGCAGAGAACACATCCCCTGATGAAATGTTAATGCCCTGCTGTAATGGGAGATCGCAACTTTCTGTTTGAGAGTCACTAACTCAGAAGTTTCCTTGGGTGGTCATGTAATCAGTGCATTGTTATATGCACTGTTCCTCATTTATGTAGGATACATAAGAATTTCTTCAACATAGTGTTTCTGTGGTAGAAATATTGCATGTCAACCTAGGCTGTTTTCTTGCTAATTAGTTACATACCATCAAGTCAGAACCAACCCTAATAAGAATTCCAAGGTAAGTGAGATATTTAAGGAGTGGTTTTACCAATTCGGCTCCCCTAACAACTTTCCATGGCTAAACCGGCATTCAAACCGTGGTCTCTAGAGTCCTAGTCCATCGCCCTGTCCGCTATATCATACTAGGTGCCTGTTTGTTTTGCTATTACAGAAATATAAGTTCTTAGCCCTAACTGTCTTGCTTACTTCTATTTTGATTGCTGTGTGTCATGTTGCATATTTTTAGATGAGTACTCTGTTGGATAATGCTTGTGCCTTGTGTTGTGCTACTTTGATTGTGCCATATACATTACTCTTGTGATTTATCTAACACTGTGTACAGAGGAAGCCGTGAGCACCACACCAAATGGCATATTGCACCTCTACCTGGCCACAGGTGACCCTATTTAGCCCATACCATACCACTTCAAAAGAGCCAGTGCAGACATGCTTTGACTTTGAAAACTCTATTAGGGTTGTTATAAGTCACTTTGACTTGAAGGCACATAGCAACAAAGTATTTACTCCACACAAAAAGCTATTCATGACTTTTAACTTTGAATGCCCATTTAGTTTTTTTAAGGTAGCAGGAATGAACAGCTGAACCTGAATAGCCAATTAACTGTGAGTGGCGTAAGTACAACAGAAATGGAAGGACCTGTCAGGATGTTCAGTCAGTGACCAAGACTGATGCCAGTCTTGGGGTCTGTTTTGGTTTACAGGTTGAGTCCAGATTATTCTTTTGATTGCCACTAGGTTCAACAGTTTCATCACTAATGAAACTGAGGAGAGAGCAACATTCATGAGCTTGAAGAGTTTGTCTGAATTGACTACTGGGGCAGATAAATGTGTGGTGTAAGATTCAGCGGTATAGAGGTGTCAGGCAGAAGGTTGGGTGGTAACGGACATGAAATATAAGACAGCCTGGCAGACTGCATTGCAATGAAAGTGTCTGAGGCAATATTGATCTGATCTAGTGAATCATAGAAGCCCTTGTACCTAATTAGGATATCACTGCTTTTGCACCAGAGTCCATTGACAAAACATTTTGCCACTGGGTTACTAATCTCTCATTTGCTAAAGCAACTGACAGTAGAAGAGTTGTGTCTGGGAACCCAAAGAGCAGTACATGGATTTCTACAGGTGACCATTTCAGACAAAGTCATGAATTAGAGGAGAGTGGGATGTCGGGATATAAACAAGCATCACCACCACTACTACAATTCCATTTCCTTCTCAAAGCTTTAATTAGGGTATGGCAACTGGGGTTTTGACCAAGTCATTTAGAGCATGCAAAAATGTGATCCTGGAGGGTGTGAACCCATCTGCCCCAAGCACTTAACTGGTGCCAGTCACTCCTACTGAGGCAGAAAGAAATATAAAATACGTTGGCCCAGTGTAAAACCAGTATGAACACTGTATGCTCAAATGCAGGCATTCCTTCCCTTTTCTCCACTGGTTTCCCATGTATGTCAGTCTAATCTGATCCATCCAGTAAGCCACCAAAGTCTGGGGTGCCAAATTGCTCGTTACAGCTCTGATCATCATTATCTTCCTAATAAATGTTACAGGCATGACAGTCCTAAGGATTTAAAGAATCATGGATACCCTGTTATGGAGCACAATCGTTATAAAGAATTGCTAGGAATAATGGGGCCTAGAATAAAATGTCACTTTTGTAGTGGTGGTGGTGGAGAAAAGCCTCCAAAGCTCCTGCATCTCAAGTGGCAAGATATGTATATATTATAATTCAACATCTTAATTGTTGATCTTAATTTTTTGGGGTGGCTGTCTTGAGACTCTGCTAGGGGAGAAAGGCAGGATAAAAACCATGACATGACAAATGTGGATTGGGCCCTCTGAAACCCAACGTATTCTCAGTCTTAAGAAGCTTTCTAGTCTAGTTTCTAGTTTCCCAAGTCCTCGCAGAAAGGAGAGCCTTGATGGGAACACTGGACCAAAGATGGGATGGCCTGGCTGTATAGCAACTTACTAACCTCAGTAGTATCCTCTCACCATCCCTCATCTGCATTTAAGTAGAAATATGCTGAGTGTGAATTTGCCTATTATTATTTTGATATGTTCTTATATCCTTGCAAGGTTGATCAGCTAAATCTGGGTGGAAATCATATGGCAACATGCAACTGTCAGGGTCATTTTTGTGCCCTATATCCCTTAAAGCTTTCAGAAGGGACAATTCTTTTTTAACAAAAAGAGCTTGTTTTACCCCCAATCCCTCCCCACAATGGGTAAAATCAGATGTAGATTTTTGACCATGTTCAATCCCCCCCCCAATTGAGTAGGGCATTTGGTGTGGCCCATGGTGGGTCCTAAGGATAAGAAATTGGCCACTGGATAAACCTTAATAATAATAATAATTATTAAAAATACCAGGCACAATCAATAAAAATTATAAAAACATTGACTGGTATTGTATAACAGATACAAGTTTTAACGAAAAACCTAACTATCTGTTAAATATTGGTGCAGACTTAGCTGGACTAACAATCAGCCTGAAGAAAACATAAGTCATGGGCCAGGGCGTGGACTCACCTCCCTCTATTACCATCTCTACACAAGAATTGGAGGTTGTTCATGAATTTGTGTACCTTGGCTCAACAATCTCTGACACACTCTCTCTAGATGTTGAGCTGGATAAACGCATTGGCAAAGCAGCTACCATGTTCTCTAGACTCACAAAGACAGTATGGCTCAATAAGGAACTGACAACATATATGAAGATCCAGGTCTATAGAGCCTGTGTCCTGAGCACACTCCTGTACTGCAGTGAGTCCTGGACCCTTTGTGCATGGCAGGAGAGGAAGCTGAACACGTTCCATATGCGTTGCCTCAGACGGATTTTTGGTATCACCTGGCAGGACAACGTTCCAAATAAAGTAGTCCTAGAATGAGCTGGAATTTTTAGCATTTATACATTAATGAAACAGCGAAGTCTATGTTGGCTTGGGCATGTTGTGAGAATGGCTGATGGTCAGATTCCAAAGGATCTCCTGTATGGAGAATTAGTGCAGGGAAATCGCCCCAGAGGAAGACCACAGCTGAGATACAAGGACATCTGCAAGCGGGATCTGAAGGCCTTAGGAATGGACCTGAACAAATGGGAAACCCTGACATCTGAGTGTTCAGCCTGGAGGCAGGCGTTGCATCACAGCCTCTCCCAAATTGAAGAGAGTCTTGTCCAACAGGCCTGAGGAAGAGGAAGTCTCAAAAGCAGCAAAATCAGAGAGCTGGACAGGGGACAGATTGGATTTGTCTTCAGTGTGGAAGGGATTGTCACTCTCGAATTGGCCTTTTCAGCCACACAAGACACTGTTCCAAGTCCTTGATACACAGCATGTTACCATAGTCTTTCGAGACTGAAGGATGCCTAATGAATATATGCTGTTCCTAATACTGCCATTTCTTGTAGTTCTGTTGGAGTTTTTTCTGAGATCTGCAACTGCTTATAGTACTGTGTGAAATTTCTTGATATTGTTCTCAAAGCCCCAATAACTCTGGGGACCACTGAAGTGTGTTTCTTCCAGAGGTGAGATGTTTCGATTTCCAGGTTTCTGTACTGTATTAGTTTTTCCAATTCTTTATTTTCAACTCTGGCATTCCCTGGAATTGCAATGTCAATGATTCAGACCTTTCTTCATTCTATTACTACTATCTGAGTGTACAATCTTTGGGCATTCACAGATGAAGTATGGCACAGTTTCATCTTTTTCTTGGCAGAGTTGACATTTGCTGTTAGTACTAATTCCTTGGATCTCAGCTTTCATCACATTGGTTTGGAGTGTTTGTTCTTGGGCAGCAAAAATCAAGCCTTTGCTTTCTTTCTTTCTTTCTTTCTTTCTTTCTTTCTTTCTTTCTTTCTTTCTTTCTTTCTTTCTTTCTTTCTTTCTTTCTTTCTTTCTTTCTTTCTTTCTTTCCTTCCCTCCCTCCCTCCCTCCCTCCTTCCTTCCTTCCTTCCTTCCTTCTTCAGTTTTATTGATTGTGCCAGAATGTTTTTTAAATCATCATCATCACCAGTAGCATCATCGTCATCAAATTGTGCTATCAAGTTGATTCTCACTTAAAGTGACCTTTTGCAATGTTTTCCAGGTAGAGGGTACCAGATATGTTTTACCATCCCCATAGTCTGTGGGCATGTATCCTGGGACTGTGCAGTTTGCCCAAGGCCACACAGACTCAGAGTCAGACTCTTTTCCCAGGAGGCATAGTGGAAAATTGAACTCTGAGCCAAACCACTGAGCTATCCAATTGCCTGATGTCTTTCACTACTTCCCAAACTGCAAATTTGCTTACTTTTG